CTGAGGGTTGCGATCTGTTGCCGGACATGGAAAAAAGACAAAAGACAAAAAAAAAAAAAAGATTTTTGGACTATCATTGTGGGCTCACAGATTTCTGTTTTTTATTTAATGTAATTCATTATTATTACCAGTCATTTCAAGACACACACAGTCCTGTATTTGGTCAGTGGGCACCACCTCAAGCTGTTTCTGAGTTCTCTTGATATTTTTCCATTGGTTTTTGAGTGCTGCCGTATTTTCTGTTACTTTCTATTATTTTACTATTACAAATAATGCAGAAATAAAAACCTTGTACATATGTATACTGCATAATAATTTTGTTCTTTCTCTGCTCCAAACCTAGAATCAACCATTTCTCCAAGGAGAACTGGGTTCCTTTTAATAGGGAATAGCACTTAGAAAACAAGACCTGAATAGTAGATGTGCTCACTTCTACTGATGCTGCCATTTTATTTTCTGAATACATAAAATTTCAACACGATTAAAAAAATAATCTAAAAGGTATTCTCTGAAAAATCTCATTTGCTTCCCTATTTCTTCCATTTCTTTGTTATCATACTTCAGAAAGTAGTCAACTTCATTTTCTCATTTATTTTTTCTGGAAGCAGATATAGTGTGTTTGCAAATGTATGTATGTATATATGCACACAAAAGGTAGCATACTATCTACCTTCTTTTTCACCTTGCTTTTATTAACTTAACAATATATCCTAGAAAGCATTATTAATCAAGTCACAAAAATATTTGTCCTTTTTAAAATAAATNTCAGAAATATTAACATCGGGCCAGCCCCGTGGCTCACTCGGGAGAGTGCAGCGCTGGTAGCGCTGGGGCCGCAGGTTCGGATCCTATATAGGGATGGCAGGTGCGCTCACTGGCTGAGCGTGGTGCGGGTGACACCGTGCCGAGGGTTGCAATCCCCTTATCAGTCAAAACAAACAAACAAAAAAAGAAATATTAACATCAATAAAACACTTTTTATCTTTTTTTTTTTTCCTTTTTTGTCTTTTTTCGTGTCTGGCAACCCTCAGTGTCACACCCGTACTGGACCGGGACTGGCAACAGGATTGCAACCCTCGGTGCTGCGCCCGCACCTCGCTCAGCCAGTGAGCGGGAACCAGTCTGTATGTGGGATCCGAACCCTCGGCGGGAGCGCCACCGCGCTCCCAAGCGGCGCACTGTAGCAGTGCGCCACCGGGCCGGCCCTAAAACACTTTTTATCTAATTTTAGTATATACTCAAATCTCCCAAACTGCTCCAATATTGTCTTATATAACTCTTTTCCAATCCAAGATCCAGTCAAGGATCACATGCTACATTTTGTTATGATGTTTGTTATTTATGTTGTTTACTCTTTAGTCTGGTCCCCTTTAATCTGAAGAATTCCTCTACCTTTTCTTTCACGAAATTAGCATTTTAAGGAGTCCAGGCCAGTTATGTTGCAGAATTTCCTTTTATTTGGATTTGTATGAGTGCTTTCCCATGATTAAATTTAGATTAAGCATTTCTGGCAGGATGCTATAGTTTATGCTTCTTCAGTGTTTCACAGCAGGAGGCACATAATATCAGTTTGTCCTATATCAATGATTTGTTTGATCTCTTGGTTATGGTGGTGTCTACCAGAACTTGTTAATGTAAAAGGATCTTTTCCCCTTTAAATAAGTACTCTGTTGTATGATATTTTGAAACTGAATATCCTGTTCCATATTAACCTTTTATCCACTGGCTATAGGATATGCAAATTCAATATTCCTTCTACATTTTTTATGTGACAATCTTCTATAAAGAGCTTTTTCTTCAGAAATAAGGGAAATAATAAATTAAAAATGATTTTTGGGGGCCGGCTCGGTGGCACACTGGATAGTGCGCCGCTTGGGAAGCGCGGTGGCGCTCCCGCCTGAGGGTTC